ATTATTTATAAACTGGGATGGTCTGTTGCAAAGCAATTCTTAAGCTCTTGGGTTTCTCATTGGGGGAAAAAAAAAAAGAAAAGTTTAATTGAAACTCTCAAGAAAAATTGAGGAGAAGGTATATTTTGAGGAGGCAACTTATTGCTGTAGAAGTGTCAGCAAGATAAGCTCAGCAGCACCATGCCTACCTCACTTCTGTTATTCTTCTATTTAGCACAAATGTGTTGTGTCTGCAGTTTGTGTACTGTATAGAGCAGCAGCAGTGAATCTTAACATTCACCTTTTAAATAATGAAATACCTCCTCAGTACTGCTGCTTGCTACATTTCACTGAGGGCACAGATACAGACAAGCAAGACCATTTCTAAAGATAGCTGCACACAATACAGGTACTGCTGTGAGCATAAATTTAATGCCAGAGAAATGCTCTTGTTCTGAGTTTGTATCTTACGTAAATGGAAACGCATCCATCATATCCAGATACAAGGTCTTTTCAAACAGGAAAATGATCTACTAAATACTGAAGCAGTAAGCTGCTAAGACACTGGTTTTGTATATAACTGAAGGAAACACCCTTTAAATTCAAACTTGCCCTACTCAAGGTCACGTAAGAGTAAAACCTAGGCCCCAGCAGATATTTGCTTAATTCCAAGAAAGGAGACATCAATGTAGAGATAAGACTTAAAAAAAAATTAAAAATTGTGTTACACATATTGCAATCTGATCAGTTGTTGTTAAATTCAAGCCTGTCAGGACTACTTGGCTGTCTGGCTGAATCTAACTATAACTAAGCATCTTAGGGAGACAGACTGTCTTGCGTCCTTCAGAAATTAATACCTAAGCCAAGTAATTGCAGTCACGAGTGTCTAACCCTCCTGACTACAGACCACAAGACACACATCACGTCTCCCAGAAAACCAAAAGGAAACAGAGCTCCACCTGGAGTTCACAGGCAGAAGATGATGACAGCTCCTGCACGGTGCTGCTGCTGACCAGTACGGGGCTGGCAGCAGAGCTGGGCTCCTGAGAAGCACTAGTGGTGATCTGTTTCTTTGGACTGGACAGGCCAGGTCCAGATTATCCAGCAGACTGGTCCCAGCACAGCCCTGCAAGTGTTACTGCCCTTGCCAATTCACAACACATACAGCACTGCACTAACAGGACATTTCTTACTACTTACTGCCTTCTGAATAAAGTGAAAAATAGAATTAAGAGGTAAAAAAAAATTTGCCTATTATTTGTCCTGTGCTAAAACCTTCTCTTCCCCATAAAATGAATATTCTAAGAGTTCTCTATTGAACAGGGACAAATAAATGGCCCTGTGCCATAAGCAGGACAGATGGGAAATCACTGGGTAGTGAGAGAGTTCACACACTGAACCAGCACCACAGCTGGGTCTCCTAGCTCACAAAATACATCCACCTTATCACATTAAATTAAGTTTTCATTCAAGTCGTAAGTCACTATTAGTACAAACTGGAGACAGGGATATATAAGGAAGATTAACTGTCTACGTTGGACTGTGAACATTTGGGGAAAACTGCCCTTTGGAAGCTTCAATTAAAATACCTACAATTCCTTTTAATGTCAAAGGCACATTTACAATTTGCTAACGCCTCAGTATAAAATCTACTTTGACATTTCTTCATAAAAGCCAGAACCTGTCAGGTTAAAATAATGCATTAATATTTCCCAAACATAAAAAATTTAACAATGTCATTTTAATATTCTCAAGGAAAATGATAGGATTAAAAAAACCCAAACATCTAATTCATTGCCATTTCTGTGTGGTTTAGCTACTTGGAGAACAAGAAAGGATGAATCAGGTTTATTTCTGCTTTCTTCTTTCTGTCAGCAGCAATATATTCACAAATACAAGCTTCTTTTTTTCTAAAAATAAATTTCATAACCATTTCCCAGTAAAACACAGGAATGACTCAAGAAACATTTCTACAGACTAGAATACCAAAGAGTGCTTTAGAACTTCTCCAACAAGTTCCTCCTAGAGCACTATCCAATTGAGATGAGCAAGAGATAAGGCACTGTGAGCATCCACCATTGTTAAATACAACAGAAGTAAATGATTACACTTACTGCACATACTGATGTTTGATGCTGACCTATCACAAGAAACAAAGATAAGTATCACAAATAACTCAGCAAAGAGAAACAGTGGCTTGGATATCCAACACATTCTCTTGTAGACTCAGTGGTACGTGTTGGAAATGCACAACTGATTTATTCTCACATTCTGCCTTCCATAGGTTTACCAGAAGAAATTGTGAATCACCTACCCTTATTATTTGAAAGAACTGAACATTCTTAAGCATCACTAAAACTCCTAGCTTCTGTGTGACTTGCTCTAGTGTGTGACCACTCTGCATCACCAGTAAGAAAACAGGTTTCTTTCTACTCCCTGAGGCTCCAGATTGGCATGTGGGACTTAGCAGGGGGAAAAGGGGAACAGATTCTCACCACTTAAATGTTTGTCACTTCCTGGCTGACCAGGCTCCTGCATTAGAGTCTCACATTGAAGTAAGAGCACTTCAAATGCTTCCCTTGGAGTAATTCTTAATATAAAACATATACATCTGAAGTTAGCCCTGCTTGGTCTAAACATAGCTATGGAGGCTCCTGTGGGCAAAGAACCTTACCATCGTTTCAAGAAGCAACCAATCTACCTAACATGGGTATCACCTCATTGCATTCAGTGAGATTTTCCCAAACTTGGATAAGAACAGCTTCTGATGGAAGCAACTGCCCCTTTTTAGACTTCAGAGGAAGAAAAGAAACCCTCTAGACAACCCAAATTTCTGGCAAGAATCAAGCACATAGTGTGCTGCCACCCTGTGAGCTCCTGGGGTATGACTTATGAACTGTATCAGAGATACAGAGAGCAGCCCAAGTCACTGCTGAAAAGCAAGCAGTATAGCACTGGCAAAGACAAGACAATTTTATCAACCTCAGGCTTCTCCAGTAGTCAAGCTACAGGTAACCACTATAACCATCTGGAAGTTACTCTGCAGTCATTACAATGAGAAACTTGGTAAGGTGGGGGAGAAAAAGTAGTATATTAGCTATGTAATAAACCTTCATGATGGAGCTGTTAGAAGCAGCAGAGATGTTGTTTCCTAACTAGAACTGTTTTCTGTAACAGAACACTCCATTGGTTCAAGAGTGAGATTTTGAAAGATTCACCTCCTTACATGCTATGTGTGTTCCAGATCTGCTGTGATGAGCTGAGCTGCAGATGTACCTACACAACACACTGCTAATCCATTTCTCAACAAGAGACTGCTACACATTTTCCATTTTCACTTATACCCTTATTTTAGACAGAACTTCAGGGAAAATGCAATATTAAATAATATCTCATATGGCAAGTGTGTTTAAGTTTAATGTTTCACAGTCTGAAAGTTAGAAAGTAGTGCTGGTTGCAGATACACTAACATGGGTTTATGTCTCTTTAAAGAAACAGGCTGCCTTCTAAAATGTACACACTACTAAACAAGAGAGGAAGTTGTCCTCTCTTGTTTATAATTTACAAGTCACTGGTAAAAACTGCTGCATGAAAGAATTGCTGGTCATGTCTAAGGAGTCTAATTTGCCAAACGGTCATGGAATAATGCTGTTGGATTTGGAAAGGGGAAGAAATAAAGCTGTGAAGAATACAGAATGCGAAGAGGAGATGTCTCTGATCTGGAAACCAAAGCAGGGAGCAGGAAACAGGAAAAGGAGGAGGACTGAGATGTATTACCATGCTATCTTCTCATCTTTCTAGAGTACAAGTATGTATTTTGTTTTAGAGGCTTCAACAAGACCCAAGAGTTAATCTGACAGAATCAGTTTAAAGATAGACAAATTATATTTTATGTGCACATAATTAATCTAATAATTAATGTCTGTTGCACATAATTAATCAAATCAAACTTTAAAAATTGACTTGGGGGGAGGGTAAAAAAAAAAAAACAAAACCAACAAGCCAACCAAACAACTGTATATTTATCCTATTATAATCTTCATTTTCCCTATTCTTATCAGCTTTCTATGAGAGGCGAGGTTGAAGTAAGGAAGTCTGTTAGAATTTCACAGAGTAAACAATTTGGCAGAGGTTCATCCAAATAGTTAGATGC